TCACCCAGCGGCAGCAGAAAGAGGGAAAAGAGGAGAGGTGCCAAGACTGATCCCTGAGGCACTCCACATTGCAAATCAGCAGTATCAGACGGACACTCCCCCAGTCTTACACAAAAATTCCTCCCTGACAGGTAAGATTTTATCCACTGGAGTGCTAAGCCTGATATTCCCACCCAGTGCTCCAGTCAATCAGGAGTAACCTGGAGGGGAGGAGACCTAAAGGTTGACCCAGGACACGGTGGAGGGGCTTGACCAGGATATTGTGGTCCACTGTGTCAAATGCAGCAGTCAAGTCCAAGAGTACAAAAATCATAGCCTCCCCAGAATCGTTTGCCATCAGGATATCATTCAAAACCATCAACAGGGCTGATTCTGTACTATTGAGAGACTTCAACCCAGACTGAAAAATCTCTAGTATCTCATTTTCATGTAGAAAGGATATCATTTGGGCATACACAAGTTTTTCTAAGACCTTAGCTAAGAAAGACAGTGTGGAAACAGGCCTATAGTTTGACATATTCGACAAATTTAGGCCATCTTTCTTCAGCAGAGGGCGCACTACTGCATGTTTAAAAGAGCTGGGAACATCACCGATAGTAGACTGCTATTTATAATTTCTAGAACATAAGGAGGCACAACTGGAAAAACTTCTTTTAGAAGTTTAGCCGGGATTGCGTCCAATACAGAACCAGATGGTTTCAGACTATTGACCACCTTCTCCAACTCTATTAGAGATGTTGGATAAAAGCTCTCCAGGAGCCCTGGGGCAGGACCCCAAAGAGAGGGGTGGTAATTGGAGGGTGTGATCAAAGCCTTCGTCCTCCTCACTTTGTCAACAAAGAAGCTGAGGAAATTATTGCAGGATTCTGTAGTGTACTCAATAGCCAGCGGTTCATTTGCATTTAAAATAGAATCCAAAGTGCTAAAAAGAATCCGAGGATTCTGTGAGTTGGAGGAAATAATGTCACCAAAGAACTTATTTCTCGCCTCTTTCACAGCTTTCTGGTAGGCTATCTCTCAGTAGGTCCAGGGAGATCTGAATCCCATCCCGCTTCCACCTACGCTCTGCCTTCCTACATTTCCTTTTTAAGTCCTGTGTTGTCATATTTAGCCATGGCTCCTTTTTACATTTATGTTTCTTAGCCTGCACAGGTGCTACAATCCTTCGAGCACGTTGCGTTAAAATGTGCAGTAAGCTTCTCGGTTCTTCTAGGCCCAGCAGTTTGCCCCTGCCCCACCAACCCAAACACTGAGCAAAACTCAGTGGCCATAGAGGACTTTAACATCCGGCAGAGTTTTACAGGAGGACACTGCATCGCAGGCTGACAGGGAAAAGGCACATTAAATAAAACAGGTCTATGGTCCGAGAAAAAGGCCACCCCAACCTGCAGATTGGAAGCAGATACCCCAAAAGATAACAAAAGGTCCAGTATATGCCCGCATACCTGTGTAGGTTGGTCAACTAACTGAGACAGATTGAAAGTGTCAACAAGATTTAAAAAATTCTTCACCATAGGCTTATCATGACAGCAAACGTGGATAGTAAAATCCCCAAGAATTAAAACCTGATCATATTTGGGAATAGTTTCACCGAGGAACTCTGTGAACTCCTCCAAGAAGTTTGCATTTAATCTTGGTGGACGGTACAGGAGTGCGACCAACAGTCGGGGCGCATGACCCAGCTCAAACAGGCAAAGCTCAAAACTAGTTGGCACAACTGGCGAAGCCACTTGTTTACAAGTGAACTTTGACTTAAAAATCACCACCAGTCCTCCTCCGCGTCCTGATAGTCTCGGGACACTAAAATAGGTACAGTCATCCTGTAGTAGCTCCACAAAAGTAGCAGATTCACTTTTGGGGACCAAAGATTCCATAATGCATAGGTAATCCAGGCCATGAGTCTCAAAGAACTCCTCCAGAATAAAAGTTTTGTTCATAATAGACCTGGCATTCACCAGGGCAAACCTGATGGTGTCCGGCGCCGAGGCGTCCTGATCCTTCCCATCCGATAATGTAGACCCTGATGGCTCATAAATCGCCTCTTGTAAGTTCCGCTGATTGACTCCTCTCCAAGAGCCGTACCGCGTACGTGCAGGACATCGGGAGCGGACCAGCCGACCGCCGCCAACCACCGACACCAACCCAGAAACCACCAGGCTTGGCGGACACCAACGCTGCAAACAGGACCCAGCCGCACCAGGATTCTCCCACAAAGCATTCGGTTCATCAAGCAACGCTGATCTTAGCTTCACCAGGCACCCAGCCTGTTGACCCCTTCTCCGACGCTTCCTCCACTTAGGTGGATTTGGCAGTCGGAGTAAGAATCCGGGGACTCCCGAGAGTAGCGCAGATATGTCTTGTCCATTTTCATAAGGCTGTGACAAACAATTAGCTGGTTGCCGGAGCTGCAGCAGGAACCCCACGTAGTGAGCGAATATTGCAGAAAAAACATCCCAGTAGCAAGTAAAACCTTAACAACCGTGGGAGCGACAGATGAACTGCCCAACATGCTGGCGCCATCTTGCCCCACCCTTTCCTTATTTAAAAAGGAGGACCGCAGGGTGTGTTCCAACTACAGGGGGATCACACTCAGCCTTCCTGGTAATGACTTTTCAGGGGTTCTGGAGAGGAGGGTTCGTCGGATTGTTGAACCTCAGATTCAGGTGGAGTAATGTGGTTTTCGTCCTGGCCGTGGAAAACTGGACCAGCTCTATACCCTTAGGGGGATCCTGGAGGGTGCGTGGGACTTAGCCCAAACAGTCTACATGTGTTTTGTGGATTTGGAGTAGGTGTTTGACCGCGTCCCTCAGGGGGCCCTGTGGGGGTACTCCGGGAGTATGGGGTACCAGGCCCTCTGATACGGGTTTTTAGGTCCCTGTATGACCGGTGTCAGAGCTTGGTCCGCATTGCCGGCAGTAAGTCGGGCTCGTTCCCAGTGAGAGTTGGACTCCGCCAAGGCTGTCCTTTGTCACCGATTCTGCTCATAACCGTTATGTACAGGATTTCTAGGCGCAGCCAAGGTGTGGAGGGCATCCGTTTTGGTGGCCTGAGGATCAGGTCTCTGGTTTTTGCAGATGATGTGGTCCTGTTGGCTTCATCAGAACGTGATCTTCAGCTTTCACTGGAGCGGTTCGCAGCTGAGTGTGGTCAGGATGCCTCCTGGACGCCTCCTTGGTGAGGTTTTCCGGGCATGTACAGCCGGGAGGAGACCTAAAGGTGGACCCAGAACACGGTGGAGGGACTATGTCTCTCACCTGACCAGGGAACGCCTTGGGATTCCCCCGGAGGATCTGACCCAAGTGGCTGGGGAGAGGGAAGTCTGGGCCTCTCGCCTTATGCTACTGCCCCCGCAACCCGACTCCGGATAAGCGGATGAAGATGGATGGATGGATGGATGGAGGGGATTGATGGATGGATTGATTGATTGATTGATTGATTAATTGATTGATTGATTTTTTTACCCAGCCCTAGTTGTTTATCACTTTGGACAAATCACAATTTGACATCTTAAAGTGGGCATTATCAAAGACCTCAGACATCACAGTGAGTATGAGTGCTGTCATTTTAGAAAGAAAGAAAGAAAAATATCATTTCTATAGCACCTCTCAAGATAAAAATCACGAGTCGTCATCGTCATCTTCCTCTGCTTATCCAGGTCTGGGTCGTGGGGGCAGCATCCCAACTAGGGAGCTCCAGACCGTCCTCTCCCGACCACCTCCACCAGCTCCCCCGGCAGGACCCCAAGGCGTTCCCGGACCAGATTGGCAATGTAACCTCTCCAACGTGTCCTGGGTCGACCCGGGGGCCTCCTGCCGGCAGGACATGCCCGGAACACCTCCCCAGGGAGGTGTCAAGGAAGCATCCTGACCAGATGCCCAAACCACCTCAAATGGCTCCTTTCGATCCGGAGGAGCAGCGGTTCTACTCCGAGTCCCTTGCGAATGTCCGAGCTCCTCACCCTATCTCTAAGGCTGAGCCCGGCCACCCTACGGAGGAAACTCATTTTGGCCGCTTGTATCCGCAATCTCATTCTTTCAGTCATTACCCAAAGCTCATGACCATAGGTGAGGATTGGGACGTAGATCGACTGATACATCGAGAGCCTGACTTTCTGGCTCAGCTCCCTCTTCACCACAACAGATCGGTTCAGCGTCCGCATCACTGCAGACGCCGAACCAATCCACCTGTCGATCTCCCGATCCCTCCTACCTTCACTTGTGAACAAGATCCCGAGATACTTAAACTCCTCCACTTGAGGTAGGACCTCTCTTCCGACCCGGAGTTGGCAAGCCACCCTTTTCCGGTCGAGAACCATGGTCTCAGAAGTGATCTGTTGTTAAAAATAAAAATAAAAATGTAAATAAATAAAAAATAAGGAACATTCTGGAAAAGTTTCTTCCTTTTTATTTTATTTTTATTACGTATCGAAAGTATCGGATCGGGACTCGGTATCGGCAGATTCTCAAAATCAAATGACTCTGACTTGAGGGCAAAAAAACCTGATCGGGACGTCTCTAACATTTACATTTTTGACGCATTTTAACGAGCTTCCTCAGCACCGTGATTTCGTTGTAGGATACAAACTTTAAAGCACTATCAAGGAGTAAAGGTTCAGCAGATATGTTTGTTTACATTTTTGCCGCTGCACACCTTCAGCGTTAGGAAAAGGAAGGGTGGGGCCGACGCAATGCTGTTTTCAGGGTATCTCTAGGCTCGACAGTAGCAGCGACGGACGGCTGGTTTGACTGGCTCTGAGAAGCATTAATCAGAATTTGCAGATCACATTTTTTTCCTTCTACCAATCGCATAGTGATGTCTGGGCTTAAAAGCAACTCGTTAGATTCATAGTAATTTGTAAAAGTAATGCATTACCATAAATAGTAATGTGTTTACCAACATTGGTTATTTATATTACTGATTGAAAAAACACCTATAGGTATTTTGTTTTCTCTTTTTACTGAATATTTTTCTTTTATAAATTTCTGCTTGGTTCACTGCAGATTCAAGGAAGAGAGAGGAGGCGGATGAGAAACCTCTGCTCTTACGTTTCCACAACCATCCAATGAAAGACGGAGGTGTCCCAATCAGCAGCTTAGATGGGCAGATGACAGCAAAAGTTGGTGGAGGAGCAGAAACTATCAAGAACCTAGATCTGGACCCTAATGAAAAGACATCCGATTCTTCAGAGACTGAAGTTGGTGGAGAAGATGAAGATGATTTGAATCTAGACTCTGAGCATTCAGACTCTGGACCTGAAACTGGAAATGGAGACCATGGCTGTAATGAGAATAAGTCTTCGGAGTCAGATATTAAGACAGTCAACAAATCATTTAGCTGCCCTGTGTGTGGTATACGGTTCCTCCACAAGTGGTCTCTTCAGGAACATGTGAGAATGACAAGTCATTCAGCAGTAAAGTCTTCAGAGTGTTCGGTTAATACAAAATGTGTGAAAGAGAAGCAACATGAAGGCTCATGCAGAAAAGTCCAGAAACAACAGAAATCATTTAGTTGTGATGACTGTGGGAAAAGATTTAGCCTAAAGTCCAATTTAACCCGTCATATGACAGGCCACACCGGGGAGAAGCCTTTTGCATGTGACCTCTGTAGACAAAGATTTAGCCATAAAAATAGTTTAAACTGTCACATGAGAGTCCACACAGGAGAGAAGCCTTTTGCCTGTGAGCTCTGTGGATACAGATGTACCCAAAAGGCACATTTAACTATACACATGAAAGTCCACACAGGAGAGAAACCTTTTGTCTGTGAGCTCTGTGGACAAAGATTTAGCCATAAACATAATTTAAACACACACATGAGAGTCCACACAGGAGAGAAGCCTTTTTCCTGTGAGCTCTGTGGATACAGATGTACCCAAAAGGCAAGTTTAACTATACACATGAAAGTCCACACAGGAGAGAAGCCTTTTGCCTGTGAGCTCTGTGGATACAGATGTACCCAAAAGGCAAGTTTAACTATACACATGAAAGTCCACACAGGAGAGAAGTCTTTTGCCTGTGAGCTCTGTGGACAAACATTTAGCCGTAAACATAGTTTAAACACACACATGAGAGTCCACACAGGAGATAAGCCTTTTGCCTGTGAGCTCTGTGATTACAGATGTACCCAAAAGGCAAGTTTAAACTATCACATGAGAGTCCACACAGGAGAGAAGTCTTTTGCCTGTGTGCTCTGTGGACAAACATTTAGCCGTAAACATAGTTTAAACACACACATGAAAGTCCACACAGGAGATAAGCCTTTTGCCTGTGAGCTCTGTGAATACAGATGCACCCAAAAGGCACATTTAACTATACACATGAGAGTCCACACAGGAGAGAAGTCTTTTGCCTGTGAGCTCTGTGAATACAGATGTACCCAAAAGGCAAGTTTAAACTATCACATGAGAGTCCACACAGGTGATAAGCCTTTTGCCTGTGAGCTCTGTGGACAAAGGTTTAGCCGAAAGACACATGTAAAGAGACATACGCGCATCCACACAAAACTTGAGGGATTTATTTAACAACAGTACTTCCAAAATTACTATTTTTTTTATTACAACCTTAATATTAGTCTTGTACCTCTGCTCAACTGTCGTTGATCAAGTCTGCACTCGGCCCTTGAGCCACCTCTTCTTTTGATTTTCTTTTTCAAATCTCCTTTGTTTTTTTAAACTCAGACCATAACCAAACATTTGAGATGTTCATTCGTGAATACTGAATACAAAAAAATGTACCTAAAGATTAAGAAAAAACTACTATACCCTCCTGTATTTAAGAAACAGACAACAGGCACATGATGGTTGTGGTACATAACCCACTGCAATTTAGAGCTGTTAGATACTGGTGGCGTCTGCTTTAAACAATTTATCTGCATATAAAATAATAACATACAATGTTGTAATAACTGCATCTTAAAAATAATGTGTCTTTATTCTTTTGGAGCCCCTAAGAAGAAATCCCACCTTAAAGGCTGTAGCTCTGTCACTCTGTAACCAGTTGCCACCCTCAGTTAGGCTGTCCCCATCTCTGCTGGGTTTTAAGAGTCACCTGAAAACCCACTTCCTTCGCTTGGCGTTCCCTGAACATGTTTGAGGTCGGCCCTCTTTTATGCTGATTTTATTCCCTGTTTTTATTGGTCACTTTATCCCTTGTTTTATCTATTGGTTTCTACTTCCAATGTTTTAATCCTCTTTGCACTATTTTATTTGCTTTTATTATCTATTTATTCATTGTGATTTGCATTCCTTGTTTACTGTGTACAACGCCTTGGGCTCCCTGGCAGGATTGTGGCACTTTGTAAATAAAGCTTTGATTGATTGATATTAAATGCCGCCCACAGGCTCAGGGATTTCCGCAATCCCGAGAAGTTCCTTGGATGGGGGCTGGACCAAGATGGCTGCATGTTAAGTCCACTTGTACCGAGCTTTTAACATCAAATTCTTAAAAGGGGCATATAACTCGTTAAACTCCACTCAACGTTGAAGAACTTTATCAGAAAATTATACTTAGACACGTTTGATTAGTTTTTATGACTGCACCTTGAACAGCACCAACAAAATGTCCTAAAACTCAAGCCAGAAGAGATCATCTGATGCTAGGGATAACAATGCTAACTCTTCTGCTGCTAGCTTTGACGATAGCTTTGCTGGGGATGCAGAAATGGCCCTTCCATGGATGACGAATTTCCACCACTACCAATGACTCCAAGTAAGCCACCAATTCCTAAAAAACCCAATCGGAATGAATCTGAAGTAGTCACAGCAATGGAAAAAGTCAATTATACAGTCAGCAAGCTGGCTAATCTTTTCAACACCAGATGTGATGCTCTAGAGAGAAAAATGGAAGCAACTTTCACCAAAATGAAAGCTATGACTGAAAAAGTGTACGAAATCGAAAAAAGAGTTGGAAAACATGTGGAGACCGTCACATAAATGGTGAATCGTGTCTCTGATTTGGAGATATACAGGCGACGATGGAACCTGTGACTCTATGGAGTAATGGAACCGGAGGGGGAGAATACCTGTGCTAAGGTGATCGAGACCTGCCAGAAGGTGACACCGGAGGAAAAGGGAAATGTCTCTGCCGCAACTGACATTGCGCATCGTGGTGGAAAATGTTGCTTAAACGACGCAAGGCCCCGTGGCATAATTTTCAGATTTATCTCCAGGAGAATAAGAGATGCCATTTGGAAATCAGCGAGAAACTGTGCCTATCTTAAGAACGAGGGTCTGAGCATCATTGGAGTGAAGCACATGGAGTAATAAAAGTGGGTCTAGATCAGACTGCTTTGAAAAAAAAATCACAGTTAATATTTGTCCTACGCCACTCACTGACCACAAAGCCATGTCAATTAAAATAAACATATCCAGTGCTTCTAAACCCTTAACAAATTGTGGTTACTGGAAATACAATAGTTCATTATTAAATATTAGTCTGATCAAAACAGAAATAAAGGACTTAATATCTATATTTTGGACAAAAGCTATCAAAGAAGATTGCTTTGGAATAAATTGGGAACTATTCAAATTTGAAGTTGGGAAACTTTTAAGGAAACGTGGCAGTCAAAGAGCCAAATCAAGGAACAGCTGAGGAGGAAAATATTGTAGCAGACATTTGTAATATCTCAAAGAAAAGACCAGATACCTTACTAGAGGAAGAGAAAATTGAGCTACAAAAACTCCAAACTAAACTGGACAAATTATATTGCTAGAAAGCGAAAGGAGCATTTCTCTGCTCAAGATGTAAATGGTTGGAAGAAGAATAGAACTCTCAATATTTTTCTACTTAGAAAAACGCCACTCTACCAATAACACTATTGTTAAGTTGAACACCACTGGGGTTATTACTGAAGATCAAGTCGACATAGCGAACTTTTGTTCAAACTTCTATAAACAACTTTACAAATCTAATTTCTCACAGCCCTCGACAGACTCCTTCCTGAGCTCTATAAATACTGAGACATTAAATCAACCTGATATGGAATCATGTGACAAACCCATATCACAACAAGAGGTGTGAAGTGCTATCAACTCTCAACAATAACAAATCTCCAGGAACAGATGGTCTAACTGCAGAGTTCTATAAAACATTTACTACTGAGCTGACTCCTTTTTCTACAATGCATTTGTGGAAAGTCTAAGTGAAGGAAATCTTCCAACTACTTTGAGTCAGGGACTAACTACATTGCTTCCTAAACCTGATAAGGATCGTCTACTTCTGGATAATTGGCGTCCTATTTGTCTTCTTAACAATAATTATAAGATTCTGGCTCTCGTTTTAATGAAAACACTGAAAATGGTACTAAATCCTTTGATAGATAAAACACAATCAGGTTTTATGACTAAAGACATATAACCAATAATATAAGACTAGTCCTAGACATTTTTAGACTACTCCGAGTTTTTTGAAGACGATGGATTTATACTCTTTTTAGACTTCTACAAAGCATTTGACACTGTGGAACATCAATTTATTATTCAGGCCCTACATAAATTTGGTTTTGGAAATCACTTTTGTCCATCTGTAGAGACCCTATATAGGAAAGGCAATAGTTCAGTTAAATTAATGGGTGGTACATGTCCTAGATTTGATCTATCAAGAGGCATTAGACAGGGATGCCCGGCATCTCCATATCTCTTTTTGCTTGTTGTCCAACTCTTATCAGATCATATTAGAGCCAGAGCCGGATTAACGCAAAGGCAAAGTAGGCATGTGCCTAGGGCCCGATTGGCTGGATGGGGCCCAGACAGAGGGACAAAATAAAAAAAATAAAAAAATACAATGTACAAATGTCCTATGATAGAATTTGTAGAGACGATTCGTCCTCTCTACAATCTATTTCAATATTTATTAACTAAAAATAGTGACATGTTACGTGCCGTGCCCCTTTTTGGCCACAAGATGGCCTCAGTGGCTTTTGTCTCGCCTGTCTCCCGGTGCCCAGCTGTTCCAAATCAGTGATGATTACTTGGCAGCAGTTAAAAGCTGCTTTCAGCCACCAGTTCAGTGAGAAGGTACAGGATACAGTGGGGCAAAAAAGTATTTAGTCAGCCACCGATTGTGCAAGTTCTCCCACTTAAAATGTTGACAGAGGTCAGTAATTTTCATCATAGGTGCACTTCAACTATGAGAGACAGAATGTGAAAAAAAATCCATGAATTCATATGGCAGGATTTCTAAAGAATTTATTTGTAAATCAGGGTGGAAAATAAGTATTTGGTCACTTCAAACAAGGAAAATCTCTGGCTCTCACAGACCTGTAACGTCTTCTTTAAGACACTTTTCTGTCCTCCACTCGTTACCTGTATTAATGGCACCTGTTTGAACACATTATCTGTATAAAAGACACCTGTCCACAGCCTCAAACAGTCAGACTCCAAACTCCACTATGGCCAAGACCGAAGAGCTTTCGAAGGACACCAGGAAAAGAATTGTAGACCTGCACCAGACTGGGAAGAGTGAATCTACAATAGGCAAGCAGCTTGGTGTGAAAAAATCAACTGTGGGAGCAATTATCAGAAAATGGAAGACATACAAGACCACTGATAATCTCCCTCGATATGGGGCTCCACGCAAGATCTCATCCCGTGGGGTCAAATTGATCATGAGAACGGTGAGCAAGAATCCCAGAACCACACGGGGGGACCTGGTGAATGACCTGCAGAGAGCTGGGACCACAGTAACAAAGGTCACCATCAGTAACACACTACAACAGCAGGGAATCAAATCCTGCAGTGCCAGACGTGTTCCGCTGCTGAAGCCAGTGCATGTCCGGGCCCGTCTGAAGTTTGCCAGAGAGCACATGGATGATAAGGCAGAGGAATGGGAGAGTGTCATGTGGTCAGATGAAACCAAAGTAGAACTTTTTCGTATAAACTGAACTCGTCGTGTTTGGAGGAAGAAGAATACTGAGTTGCATCCCAAGAACACCATACCTACTGTGAAGCATGGGGGTGGGAACATCATGCTTTGGGGCTGTTTTTCTGCTAAGGGGACAGGACGACGGATCCGTGTTAAGGACAGAATGAATGGCGCCATGTATCGTGAGATTCTGAGCCAAAACCTCCTTCCATTTTTGAGAGCTTTGAAGATAAAACGTGGCTGGGTCTTCCAACACGACAATGATTCCAAACACACCGCCCGGGCAACAAAGAGGTGGCTCCGTAAGAAGCATTTGAAAGTCCTGGAGTGGCCTAGCCAGTCTCCAGACCTCAACCCCATAGAAAATCTGTGGACAGTGGCGGCTGGCCAGTAGAGGGCGATAGGGCGCCGCCCTCCCAGTTTTTCCGTGTTTTTAATTTTTATTTTAAAAAATAAATAAATAAAATTAACAATAATCACATATTCTAAGTTAATTGTGTGTTTTGTAACAAAAATAAATCATATATATATATCTATATTGGCCTCTGCCGGTCTCTGCCGAGCGGTGGAGGCTGTGTGCTGTTTTTCAATCGCCCAAACAGGACGAGACCAGCTGTCCAACTGCTGACAAGAATATAAAAGTGTAGGAATGGGAATGTATCCAATCAGCGTCGACGTTGTTTCAGAACGTTTCAGAAGCATGATGGGCGATGGAGCTACCGCCAAAGGATTCGTTGGTGTTCGGTAGAACTCGGCAGAGTCGTTTTTGGTCGTGACCCAGATGTAACATGGACGCCGCCGGTGACTACAACCAGCATGGGTACCGGATCTCAGCAGCCACTGAATTCAGTTCGGTCTCTTCTCCAGCATCCGTTCGAGAGGAGAACTATGGTGGAAAAACTTAATGTCAAAGAGCTTGGACCAGATCAGCCCGACGTAAAGATAAGCCAGCAGGAGAAGGAGAGAGGTAAACTGTACACACTAGGTTTCTCCCGAAATTGGTACACCAGGAAGGCTTGGCTAGCTGGATGCAATCACGCTAATGCGTTATTTTGCTTTCCGTTTCTGTTATTCAAAACGGCTGGGACAGATAAGGCATGGATGAGTCAGGAGTTACAGACATGAAACATTTTTCTGAGAAGGTGAAGAAACACGAGTCATCCCGGGCACACATGGACAACAACACGGTGAAGCTAGCCATGCTAGGCAGCAGAGCTAACGTTGCCATGCAGGGAACAACAGCAGCTGGGTGCAGAGGTAAGCTGTACATTACATTTTTGTGAACAAGACAATCAGAATCAGAAATCCTTGGTTGTCCCACAAACCGGGACATTTGTTTAATAACATGTTTAATGTGCAATAACTGTAAAAACTAATTTCAACACACATACTTATTATACATATTTAATCACGTAAATGTGTATTTCATGTAAATTTGTACATACATCAATCTGATTCCATTTTACTTGTTACACTTCTGCTGCAGCAAACAAATTTCCCAGCTTTTGGGACAATTAAACATTTCTGATTCTCAATTAGATGTTTTTACCTCAAATGTAAAAACATCTGATTGAGAATCAGAAATGTTTTATTGTCCCAAAAACTGGGAAGTATGACATTTTTAAGAGGATACTGATGACATTATTTCATATAAAAGTGTTTCCTATGTACTTATCTGTTGTTTTTTATTTATCATATGACAGGTTTTTCACACCATCCTGAGCCATGCAAAAGAAGGTTCTTGTCACCACACCCATGACCACAGCCGAATCAGAAAGGTGCTTTTCTACTTTAAAGAGGATTAAGACTTTCCTTGAGGAACACCATGACACAGGATGGGCTGAATGCTCTTGCCATGCTCTCCATGGAAAAAAAAGCTTGTCACAAACATTCCTGACTTCAATAAAAAGCTAATCGAGAGCTTTGCCACTCAGAAGGACAGAAGGGCAAAATTTCTGTACAAATGAGGTATCACACACACACAAATGCATCCACTTGATCTTTGTATAAAGTTGACCTTGGCACAACACTCCAGAAATATTTAACAGTGTAAATTTCTGGAATTTTGTCTAAGTGGTGTTTACTACCATTACTGTAACAGTGACCTGCTCATAATTTTTGGTGTTCACTCAAATGTTGAAATTAAACAAAATGTTTTTGTTACTTGCCTCTTGCATTGCCTATTTACCATTTATGGTCATGTTATTTTATGTGCAATTTAATGCAGTATTTTTCAACCTTGGTCCGCAAGGCAGTTTGCCAATAGTCAGACACACCTGGATTAATCAGTTTGTCCAATGATGTAAGACAGGAAATAAAAGAGCTGTGCTTAATTCAGGAAATAGTGAAGTTGTGCACAAAGCTCAGAAAGCACAAGTTTGTTTAAAAATAAAAAAATAGCACAGCCCCACCAAAAATATTTTTCACCAGCCGCCACTGTCTGTGGAGGTTGTTGAAGGTCCGTGTTGCTCGGCGACAGCCCCAAAACATCACTGCTCTCGAGAAGATCTGCATAGAGGAATTGGCCAAAATACCAGCTACTGTGTGTGCAAACCTGGTAAAGACCTATAGTAATCGTTTGACCTCTGTTATTGCCAGCAAA